ATAGATAGAGAGGCAGAGAGAGAGAGAGAGAGAGAGAGAGAGAGAGAGAGAGAGAGATAGATAGATAGATAGATAGATAGATAGATAGATAGATAGATAGTCGTACTGACAGAGCAAAAGACAGACATGTAGACAGACAGATCAACAAAAGGAACGAGATATTCTGAGAAGGTTTTGTTCCAAACTCAACAAAGCTGGCTACATGATGAGTGTATATAATTAATTTCTGATATGAATACGTGAATAGCTAAACAAAAAAGGCAAAAATGTATAGGCCTATAATAATTATTGCATGAAACTGATGTGATTAATTAATTAGGCAGCCAATTTTTTACGCATTATTGGGCTTTCTCATTTCATCTCCCGATACTTTGTATTGTTTGCAGTCACTTTTTTGCTTCTGCGCTCCGTTTTTCTTGTTCACAGTTCAGCTTGAAACGCATTTCCATCATTGCATATCATTATGTATCCAGTGCACTGGATACCCATTATTCTTCATTCTAATGACAAAGTCCGCGATTTAAAAAAGAAAAAGAAAAAAGAAAAAACAAACAAACAAACAAAACACGTGCATGCGCGTGCGTCCCTTCGTGCACATGTGAGTAAAGACAAAAGCTTATTCTGTTTTCTGTTTTGTCATAGGAAGTGCTCCTGTCTCGTGGGTTTTGTTACGTTATACACAACTAGCTTTTTATAACAGAGCGCTGTATTTTTTAACCTCCATGCCCATGGCACACACCAATGCTTTTAATTCATTGGGGCCGCGCTCTCTATTTTTCCGATGAGCTCCGGGAATCCAGCATGTTGAGTTTTTATTTATTTATTATCTTTTAATTCTTTAGAAAACCAAAACTTTTCTGTCGTACACAGAGGTCCAGAGTTCAATTCCCGTGTTGGAAGAATTTTTATTGAGAATTTCGGTCTTTTCCCTTGGATGTTATATTCCTTTCAGCCCGGGTTGGCTCTAAAACGCACGACCAAAGCCCGCTGCTCAAATGAACTGAACTGAGTCGATGGGGACGTAAAACACCCACGTACAGATACTAAAAGGAAAGGTTAAAGGAAACAGTTTTAAAAATTAACAAAAGTGTAATCATTAATGAATAGTATAGATTCAAAACTGCACAATCTTATGTCAAGCACCCTTAAGCTTTCAAAAGAGGATATGAAAGCGAAGGTATTACTAATATTAAAACAGGCGTTTTCCACAACCAGAACACACGAACTGAGATAATTATCACATTACATACGTTAGGAAAAAATTAAAACAATTAATGTATGGTTTATTTCAGACATACAAGACCAATGTCTTGCATTTTGTAATACAAAGGTTTTTCCCTTTCATTTGCGTATGACCATGTTAAGAACGTTGTTGCTAAAAAGACGTCAAGTGTGTGTACACCGTTGTGAAATCTGTCGGTCAAAATGACCGGGGTAGTTTGAATGAGTTAACAAAATCCGTTATGGTTATGGGATATATTTATAGCTTCTTTATCATACTCTAGAATTACTATCAAGAGAGCACGACCTCCGAATGTAGAAGTTTTGGTACGTGAAATGATGGATACAACACATACTTTGCAAAATTGTATAGTTTCACGACCCTTGCAGCAGTGTAAGAGGCGTGGCCTCCAAATTTAACATCCATCTCTGACGTGACCAAGCCAAATGACTGGGCCAAATGGGAAAACGAGAGTAAAGTGACTTCCTCGAGGTTACAGCCAAGGAAAAAGCAGATCCTCGAAACTCAGAACCCGCAACCTCACGATTACAAGTCCAGTCGATTAAACATT